CTGCTCCTGATTAATTTATCACTTGCAGTGTCCTTCTTTAGCTGTACAGGGAGGTGACAGGTTAAACCCACAGTGGAAGGTTACATCTGTCCTTTGGCCACTGGCTGCTTCATGATCTTAGGAAAGTCACTTTGCCTTGCTGTCAGCTGCTTCTGGCCCCCTGTGCTTGCTTTCTCTCTGACAACAGAAGCTGTCCCTTCTCTTGTGACTGAACACAAGCAAAATGGAGCCATGGAGGACATTAGGACTCTGGAGGCCTCTCCATGAGACAAATCATCAAATATATACAAGGAGTCAGAAAATCCCACAATTTTCACAAATGACTCTTGCATTCTAACATTTGGCAATGCATTTCAAGCTCATGAGACCATCTGACTGCTGCAGGACAGCTGTCTCAAACAGAGCAGTGGGAAACATGCAGCTTCATCCAGCCAGTACAGCTCTACCAACACACCTTCTACCCCCTCTGCAGCAACCCCAGCCAGCTGCCCTCACCCTGACTTGCCTCTTCCACTGACCTCATGCTGCTCTGTCCCATCGGCACCCACTGGCTTGCTGATCACTGCTGGCTCCTTGGACACTCCAGGTCACTCTGCTATATATCCCTGCTACCCTGCAGCCAGTCACCCCATGTCTGCAGCTCTCTGCTCCAGAGCTGGTTTACATTGCAGCTCTTCCCTGCTCTTCCTACAGCCTCACACAACACTGGAGGGGTCACATAAGTTTCTCTATTCAAGGTGGCCTCATTGCTAGTGAGCATGAAACTCTATCCCAGAAAACAAAAGGCACATGGTGTAACCCAGCAGCCTGGAGCTAAATGATGGCTCCACTCCGCATACATTTAATCAGATCATTCTATATGGTACCAAGTGTTCTGCTATAGGTCTGCATTGCCTGTCATGTGCTCGGACCCACTCTCCTACTGATTCATCGTCCTATCCCTGAGAGAAGCATGTGGAGACTGCAGGTCATGTTACAAACACATTCAAAGTCCTCTGGAGTTCCTGTATCAGCTCGTCCTCCTCTCTCCAATGCCCCAGAAGTGATGTGCAGGTCTGTGCCGAGCCCTTGGTAGACACACAGAGGCTGTTGCTGGGTGAGCACCTAATCACCTGTCAAGAGCAATTTCAAGCTCCTTATTCTCTTGCTCCTACGGCTTCTGTAACGAGTCTTTGTGCTCTACAGGCCCTCAGCTGACTCTTTCAGTGACTGTACTGCTGGGACATTCAAACAACTCTATCAATGAGGGACCCACATATTGCCAGATCCCAGGTTTCAAGACTTGCTATTTCAAATCTGGGGTCAGCACCAAAATAATCCTGCTAATTTCAGAGACCAATAAAAGCTTTTAAAGCTCAAATATCTTGTGTCACACAGACTATTTCAGGATAGTGTTTGTGTCCATCCTGAATTTCTTCACAGGCATCAGGGCAGTGGAATCACATTGCTCCACTTTACCTCTTTCCAGGCTGATCTGACATGGACAGTGAGTCACTTGGGGTCCACATGCCCAGGCTGTCCAGAAAGCAGAGGCATTACCCACATTAAATGCTCCCTTCTGGAGGGGATGTGGTCAAAGGGGATGTGGTCAAAGCATTATACTAGCAGCCCTCCGACTGCTCTGCTGATGTTGCTTTCCTTGGGACCTGGAAGAAGCCCAAGACCAGAGTCTTCTTACAGTTTGCAAGCCAGGCTGTCGTTATCTACTGTCCTAAGGGGATACAAAATGGTTGGTTGCTTGAAGAGCTCTCAGGGCATGGCAAGCCTTCTACCTGACAGCCCTCATGCTGACAAGGACATCACTTCCATGCAGCTTCTCTGGCCCTCTCTCACTGTTGGAGCATGTTGGCCTACCACCTGTGGCATGGGAGAGGCAGCAGCGCCATGCTACAGTCCTAGGTTCAGCGTGTCCCATCAAGGGACTGAATAATAGGAAAAAGAGGCAGCAAATTTTATACATTGAGCACATGCACCAGGCAGAGCAGAGAAACAACTGAAGGACAAGCAGATAGCAAGTCGGCAACCAGAAGGACCTGACTCTGAACAAAGGTCATCTCTGCCTAACTTCCCTGAGCTGGCATGGCTTTACAGATTCATCCCCAACAAGAAATCAAAGTGGTAGCACATATCTGAATTGTTTTCAGAGTCAGTGTCCACTCTGTGAAAGCTGTGGCCTGGCTGTCAGAAGGGCTGACCTTTATTGCAGCACTGGTGGTGGATGCTGGTCCTCTCAGAGCCTACTTTCACTCCAGATCAGATATTTCCTCCCCCAAACCCCACCTCTGCCCCATGGCACAGCCTGGAGAGTCAGCCTCAGCCCCAGCCCAGCCCCACAGTGTCCCAGCACCAGGCCAGAAGCAGCACTGGGTGAGCCTGGGGAGTCAGGAGCTGCAAGGATGCTGGGATCTGTAGGGGTGAGCACAGGTCTTATGGGGAGCATCTGAGGAGTCAGGGTTGTTTAGCCTGCAGAAAAAGAGGCTCTGGGGTGACCTTATCACTCTCTACAGCTACCTGAAAGGAGGTTGTAGCAATGGGACTTGGCCTTTTCTCCCAAATGACAAGCAATAGGACAAGAGGAAATGGCCTCAAGTTGCACCAGGGGAGGTTAGTTTGTGTATTAGGAAAATTTTCTTCGCTGAAAGTGCCGTCAAGCACTGGAGCAATTTTTTCAGGGAAGTGGAGAGGTCACCATCCCCACAAACGTTTAAAAGATGTGTAGATACGGTGCTCGGGGACGCGGTTTAACAGTGGACGTGGCAGTGCTGGGTTAAGGGCTGCACTCGGTGACCTCAGAGGTCTTTTCCAGACTAAGGGTTTCTATGGTTCTGTGACGCCGGGGATGTCAGCCTTGCTTTCATCTCTAGGTGGTGCTCTGAGGCCGGCAATAGCCGGGCTTCCCCGGTCTCGCCGGGCCACTCGGCCTCCCTGCGCCGCGTCCTGCCCGCGGGAGCGCGGCGAGGCTGGGAAGGGCAGGACCCGCACCCTGCGAACCGTGGCAGGAGGAGAAGCCCGTGCAGCCCTTCCGAGAGCTGGCTGCCATCTCAGCTCCTGCCTGTGTGGCATCCCCGGCCGCGGGATCCGTGCCGCAGGCAGCTGCGAGCAGAGACTGCCTCCCCATCCTCCGCTGTCCCCCTCTGTCTGCAGCAGCGAGGCTGCCCCAGCTGCCCTACACCACCCCACGTTTCCAACATCCCAGCGGGCTGCAATCCCTCCTCTCCCTCCTGCGCATGCAGCAAGAGCCCATCCCAGCTCTGCGGATTGAGCACAGGGCCGGGCCCTGCGGGGTTTTCCAATAGTGATGCTCCATTAGGGCCCAGCTCTGCTCTTACCACGGGCAATGCCAAAGTCCCATTGACTTCCTGGGGGCAAGGCCTTAATGGCCTGGGAAGGTAAGACTTTTTTTTTTTTTTTTGAGGGGAGTGTTTTGTTTGTTTGTTGTTTTGTTGAGGTTTTGGGGTTTGGAGGGTTTGTTTTTTTTTTGTTTGGGGGTTTTTTGTTTGATTTTTTGTGAAATTTAAAACCATGGCCACTTAGTATTGCCTGTCCAAAAGCTGAAAAAGACATCAGGCCCTCTTGCAAAGGCAAAGAAGAACTGCTGAAGCTCCAAGAGCACAGAGGAGGCATTCTTGCAGAGGTCATGAGCCTGTGCACAGCTGCTGTGGCAGTGCCATGTGCCCTATCCACTCCTGTGTAAAACTCAGACAAACCCAAGCTGTTTGAAACCTAACATGTTTGTTCAGAAGCACAGATATTTTAAGCACCATTTCCTAATCATGGAAATCCAAACCTATTTTCTCCTCAATTGAGATTATTGTTGTGTTTCTTAAAAATATTTTTAGTTGCAATGTGTACCAAAATGTTTAGCTGAGCAAGTTTTGTGTGAGTTGAAAGGTGCCAATGATGATTTCTTTTCAAAAAGACTGTCCAAAAGTGTCACCAAAAATAAAACATGAAACAAGTTTCTCAAGTGTCATTGCAAACAACAACATTCATTTGAGAGCTGGCAAGAGTGACAACAGGGTGGTTAGTTGTCATGGGGTAGAGGATCTGAACCAGTGCCTGGATCTTATTCATAGGGAAAAAGTCCTTCCTCTCCCCATTATTTTTCTGTTATTTGAATAGCTTTCAATAACGAGCCAAGTAAGATGTTCAGAAGACAGGAAAGAAATATTGATTGTGGTTGAATAAACAAAGAAGCAGTGTCTTCCTCCTGAAAAGCAAGCTGCCAGTCCCTTAGGACTAGAGGCAGGTCTTAGGCAAGCAGTCCCTCCAGCAGATCCTGGAGGAGGGAAGGAACCCAGGGACACCATGCCCTCTCATACATTAAAGGTATCTTCTCTGGAGAGCACAGGGCAAGGAGGTATCACCTACCTGATGCTCCACACACTGTGTGCAAAAAGTAAAATGCCTGGTGTTTACAGTTATGAATGGCCTGGACAGCTGATTTGCAGAATCCTTTAGACTGTCAAGCCTTCTCTGTAGCAAACAGTTGTTTTCCAGGATGGATTCTCCCAGTGGCTTTTCACAGGCTGTGCAAAGGAGTCCCCAGCACACAGCCAGAGAGGCACTTGTTGAGACACTGCTGTGCAGCATTTTTGTGAATATGGTTGGGTGTCTATGGGATGGAGTTGTGGTGTAGGATGGATTATGCCCCCACATGGCATACACATATAGGCACCTGCAGTGTGTACTTGGGGCACGAGTGCTCTGGGATTCCAGTGTGCAGGTGCACAAGCACCTGTGCAGAAGGATGCGCTGCTGCTGCGTATCAGCAAAGCCTGTTGGCACGTGTGCAGCTTGCAGGAACAGCCTCTGGAGTGGCTGCACCATTTTGTCAGAGAGGCTGTGTGTGGCACCAGCAGCACAGCTGCACGAGGAGTGTCTGATAGGCAGAAACTTACTCATCACCTCTGTTTTCCTGCACTGGCTGTTCCTCTCCTTCCCTCTGCCCCCTCCCCACAACCCCCTTCTGTCTCCCCTCTCTAAAGATCTGACAGCACTGAAAGCTTTCTTGCAATTTTATTATGAACAGCAGGGGTTTAGCTGGGTATTTGTCAATGCCTCACTGTCTTCTCCACCCTGATGCCAAACATGACATGAAAACATCCAGCAGGTTCAGACACGTAGAGAGGGATGGAACCAGTATGGCTGAATGATGCTTGTTCCCTCAGATTTATTGCAGTCTTGTCCCATTTTTCTCACAAGAGCCCAGCCAGGTGAAGGGAGGGGTGGCAGTGCTGACCTGTGTGTTGCCCCAACCACTCCAGCTGTGCATGCCCATGGCCCTGGTGCACCATCCTTGCCTGGCATCTCTGCACACTCGCTCCTTGGTGACTGATGGGTTTCCCAAGAGCTAAGGGGACACTTCATCCCTACCAAGCACTGCCACCCGCCTCCAAAGGATGCTGGATGTCAGTGAGGGAGTGCCCAGCCATGAGGGTTCCCCTTCTGAAGGCCACCACCCCAGCCTGTGTCCTGAATGCCCGTGTCCTCGCACGCAAAGTCCTTCTCTCTCGGTCCATTAGTTTGTTTCCATGGCCAGTGGCAGGCACACGACTCTGAAAGCTGTATTAAAAGCCAGGTCAATATCAGCCCCTGCTTATTCCCTCAGGGGAAAATAAGTAAATAATGAAAGGAGGGGGTGACTTCATTTCCTAAACCAGCATACTCTTGAATTTAGTGCTGAGAGAGGCAGCCCAGCTCCCAGGTAGGGGGCATGGGAGCTCTGAGGAGGGGCAGCTCTGCCTCAGCACCAGCTGAACCAGGAGGGATGGGGGCCACTCAAAATCCAGTGAATCCATCATTTCAATGAAGGCTTTGAGGAAAACCACTCTGGCAGATGGGCTCCGGAGCCAAGGATCACTGCATGAGCGAGGTAGAGGCTGAGGTATTTAATGCCTTCTTTGCCTCAGTCTTTAATAGTGAGACCAGTTGTCCTCAGGGTACTCAGTCCCCTGAGCTGGAAGACAGGGACAGGGAGCACAACGGAGCCCCATAATGCAGGAGGGAATACTCAGTGACTTCTTGCTACACCACTTAGACACTCCCAAGTCTGTGGGGCTGGATGGGATCCACCCAAAAACACTGAGAAAGCTGGTGGAAGAGCTCACCAAGCTACTTCTCGTCATTTATCAGCAGTCCTGGCTAGCCAGCCAGAGAGGCCCCAGGTGACTGGAGGTTGGCCACTGCAACACCCACCTCCAAAAAGGGCTGGAGGGAGAATCTGTGGAACTACAGGCCTGTCAACCTGACCTCAGTGCCAGAAAAGTTCATGGAACAATTCACCTTGCTATCATACAGAATATGTAGCACAACTGAGGAATCAGGCCCAGCCAGCATGGGTTTGGGAAAGGCAGGTCCTGCCTGAGCAACGTGATCTCTTCCTATGGCAAAGTGACCATGGATGGGGCAATGGATGAGGGAAAGACTGTGGATGATGTCTACCTACACTTTTGTAAAGCCTTTGACATTGTCTCTCAAAGCATTTGTCCTGGAGAAATTGGCTGCTGGAGGAATTAGATGGATGCACTGCTCATTGGGTAGAAAACCGGCTCCATGACTGGGCCCAGAGAAGGTTGGGGAATGGAATTATTCCGGGGAATGGAATTATTCCAGTGAATGGAGCAAACCCAGGCAGGACAGCTGTTCCCCCACAAAACTACATCCTAGGATGAGAAGTGACCATGTCTGGGCCTAGACATATCTTGTGAGTCTATTTATGCTCTTTCTCAAATGCACTTCCATATAACCTCACTTTCTCTTCCTCTTTTCCCCTTCCTTCTCCACCATCTGCCTGCTGTGTCTGCTTCTTCCTCTCAGTCCTGCTATTTTGTTCCTTGCCCTTCTGCTTCTTCCCCTCTTCCTTTTGCTTCTTGAACCAATTCCAAAGTGATATTTTGATGCTTTTTTTATGCTTTGTAGATCAGGGATTATGTGGGACATAACTTCTCCAGCCATTCTCCTCCACAGCACAGCTATTGGGTGCCCAGAGCAGCTTCCTGTGGATCCTGTTTGTTGTTCTGTCCTCATCTCATCTGCACTTTTGAAAGGATGATTCTGCTGCTCCTGAGGGAAAATGCTCATCAGGTTTTCACCTCTTGTGAAATGACAACAAAGTGATGTTACAGGTCTAGCTTTGGTTGATGTCATCCCTCATTCTCCCTCCACTTGCCTATATTAAAAAGAGAGGCTTTGGGTTTTTTCATGGGGTTTTTGAATCTAGAGCAATGTCTTGCACATCTCTGCCTCTTCACCAAGTATATCTATAAGCCTTCCCTGGGCAAAACTCTCATTATCTCCAAAACAAACAGTATTGCTTGACTCATCCTACTAGTAATTTTAGGGCAGATTATTCCCTCCATACACACATTTGTATGACCTTCTCCCTGAGCAAATTCTCTGAGCCTCTCATTATAGGTCTTTATCAGAGAGGCCCAGAACAAGAGAGCCCTCATGGTGGAGCTTCCAGGGTCCAATGCCATACAAATAACAAACACCAGCCCTAGTAACCCTCATCAGTCTCTATACCAGGCTTGTAGTCTGTCCTTTGCTTCCAAACCTCCCCTTGGGATATTAGACTTTATTAAAAATAAATAGTTACAAATTCTGTTTTACAGCTGATGGCATCAGGGAGAAGAATGGAGGAGGCAAAAGGAGCGAGTGGAGGGTCTTCTGTCCAGTCAGGTCACCTGTCTGTCATCCCGGCTGTGCTGTGCCAGGGAGCAGTCTGAGTGTGGTAAGCACAGAGCCCTGCCTCCTCTGCCAGGTATCTCAGGAGAGGAGCAGGACATGTTTTTCTAGAGGACTGGGAGAACTGGATTTGAGTCCATGGAGCCGAACTGCTTCTGGAGGTGACAGACACCAAAAGCCAAGGAGAGTGCAGAGCAGCCTATGTAGAATGTCTTTGTCTCCTAGCTTGGCATTTGCAGTGGAAGAACATCAATTTCAGTTCTCCTTCTCTTGTATATACAGAATCATGTGCAACAAGCAACAAACATGCAAGTAAACTCTTCCCTTGAGATCCTTCCCCACTCCCTCCAGGAGTCCCAAACTCTCCCTTCTATCCTCATCTGGTCAGTGCTTAGGTGTCACTCCTCTCCCAGTGATGGCGATGACCCTTGACAGCCATGGGGCCTACCCATAGTGTGAGGGGACAGAAAGTCGGCTGTTGCCTCAGCAGCAGAAACACTTGCTGTGGGTCCCAATCTGTCCACTGAAGGCAGGGACTTCTGTCACCTCTCCAGAGACAAGAAACCAGGCCTGCTGCTCTCCTGTCTCTGGGCAGGAAAGGGGTTCTAGCCCAAGCTGCATACCCGGAAAGACTAGTGTATCCTCACTCCTCTCCCAGGCAGTATGACCTTATGAGAAAGGGAGTATATCAGAGCAGCTCCAGGCCTTGGTGTATTTGGGGGCTGAGAGGCAATCATGGGAGACATTATTTGGTGGTGAAGGGACTTATCCAGTGTATGGGTACGGAACAGAGGAGACTGTGGTCAATGGGTGCAGAATGGGGAGGCTGGAGGAGTTAGATGGCTGACTCCCTGCGGTATGAGATTGTATCTAGAGGCAGAGTTGCCTGGAGCCGCTCCAGGTCCAGGTGGCTTCCAAAATCCATCATCTGGATGATACCTCCCTCCTCCTTGGTGTTGCCCCCTAACACCACACCCACTTCATCATCATCTTCATCTTCATCTTGACTGACAAGTGCCAGCTCATTCTCGTAGCAGAAGGCACTGGGAGGTGGTGGAGAAGGTAGGATGGTCATCTTGCTTTCTTGCAGCTCCCGGGCTGAGCAGCAAGGTGTGCCAGCTACCTCGTACGTCTTGTGAAAGCGTGAGTAATCCACTTTGTAGTGGTTCTTCTCCTCAAACACAACCGGTTCAAAGCGATGACCCCAAAGGATTTCGCTAGCAAGGTAAGAACTTCGTGCCTGTGTGGTCATGGCTGTGGCTTCCACCATCCCCTCCAGAATAACCACAATCTCAAAGTTCTCCGTCTCCAGCTCTTCCTTGCCAATCCCATAGAGGGGGCTCTCCTCATCAATCTCATGAACGATAATAATGGGTGAGACCAAAAATATACGATCAAGACCCACATCGTAGCCCACATTTAGGTCCCGCTGGTCCAGGGGGAGGTATTCCCCTTCCTCCGTCATGTAGGGCTTGATGAGCTGGGCTCGGACATGGGCCTCCACGATGTGACTCCTCCTCAGGTTGCCCACCCTCCACATGAGACACAGTTTGCCATCCCGCACGGAGATGACCGCATGATGGCTGAAGAGGAGGGTCTGGGCCCGCTTCTTGGGCCTTGCCATCTTGGCCATAATAGTGCCAATCATGAAGGAGTCAATCACGCAGCCCACGATGGACTGCACCACAACTGCCATGATAGCCAGCGGGCACTCCTCAGTCACGCAGCGGAAGCCGTACCCGATGGTTGTCTGTGTCTCCACCGAGAAAAGAAAAGCCCCCAGGAAGCTGTTCACGTGCATGATGCAGGGCTTGAGGAGAGAGGGACTACCTGCCACCGCCGGTGCGTTGAGGTCGCCATGGAAGAAAGCGATGCACCAGAAGAGGAAGCCGAAGAAGAGCCAGGAGACCAGGAAGGCGGCGGAGAAGATCATCAGCATGTACCGCCAGCGCGTGTCCACGCAGGTGGTGAAGATGTCGGCCATGTAGCGCTGAGATTTGTTGCTCAGGTTGGCAAAGTAAACGTTGCACTGGCCGTTCTTCTTCACAAAACGGTTGCGGTGCTTCCGCCGAGGAGCATGGCCCTTCCCGTTCCGGCTGTGCCCGTTCATGCTGCCCAGCGCAGAGACCTTGTGTCCATCCTCTTCGGTTGAAACGATGCTGTACCTGGGAAGAGAAGAAACAGGCACTCCCATCAGGAATACATGAAGGGTAAAAGCAACCACTGAGACAGCGAGGGCAGGAGACGTGGGTGGCTCACAGGGCTACAGTACCACCCTGCTGGATCTCACAGCAGCATGTTTCAGTGATTATTGCACCACGGTGCCAACCTGACCAAACTGGTGGAGATCAGCTGCAATGTTCGCTGAGTGTTGCTGCCAGGAGGTTGCATCTAGTCCTGACAGGGCAGTAAAGCAGCAGCAGCTTGTAGCTCTGTGGTACCTTCCAGCCTTTATGGTCAGGAGGGACACAAGGCTTTGAAACCTGGGACAGCCAGGAAGCCTGGGAGCAAGCAACCACAGCCTGACCATGTTTTGGCCCTCATATAATACAAGGCTGAGAGTTTCTATTTTCTCCTCTGCTCTGCTCACTGATTTCATGGTGTGTGGTGACAATGTTTATACACTTCCTGCACTCAGGACAATTCTGTTGCCACAGCAACATGTGTGTCTTCCAGCATCCCTTATCCGAAGCCAAAGGTGTAATTTGGAAATCAACAGAAAAAGCACTGACAGTTTCCTTGGCAGAAGCTACACACACACACTTTCTTGGAGACCTTTGCCCCTCCGGCTCCCTCGCAGTTGGCTCTGACACTGCCCCTCATGTGATCCTGTGAAAGCTGCAGATACTCCTTAAAGATGTGGTGGCAGAAGGTGCTCTGACCACCGAGGAAATCAATAGAGTGCACTGAAGCACGAAGACTGCCCCACCCTCATGCCTGAGAAGCTGCAGCTTCACAGGACCCTGGGAGTGTCTCCCTACCACCCCACAGTGTTGGAGTCCTCCAGCTGGCCTCCATCTGCATCTCACAGCAAGGACAGCACTGGTGGCTGGAGTTGTGATTCCTGGGAACGTGTGCCTTCTGCAGTGCTGCTGGAATCCGTAGTTTCTGGTCCAGCAATGTGCATTGTTCTCCTCCATAGTATTCCTCCAAGCACTGCCCCAATATGTGGCATGTGGAGGAGAGAGGAGTCATCCCTTGGAACAGGAAAGGACAGGTAATTTGAGAAGAATATATCAAAAGGGAGTCTGGAGTTAGGGTCTGAGGGGCCAGATGAGGAGGACCAGGTCACTCAGGGCAGCAGCAGGTCTCAAGAGGAGGATTACTCACCGATTGACTCGGACGCTGCCCATGGCTCGCTCTGTCATCAGATGTCAGGGGGCCGTGGGAGCTGGCAGGGCGTGGGAAGTCATGCAGCAGCACTCACATGGGACTGGGCAGCTCCAGGTTTCACCTCTGGCGAGCTGGGACCAGCGCTGCCATTGCGATTGCTCCTGGGCACACGCCTGGCAGAGAAGGACAAAGCAAAGCCCAGTCAGATCTCCCATGACAGCACCCATGCCAGTCCAGAGCAGCAGGCACAGGGCTCCCAGCCTTTTGCTCAGGGTGTGCTGGGAGGTCTCCTTGGGGCACCTGCTGCAGCCTGGCTTGGGCAGGTGAGGAGCTGATGGATAGACCTGGGTGCAGGGCCCACAGACCCCATGCTCCTGAGAACCTCCTGCCAGCAGAGGAGCAGGGCCAGCTGGTCACCGCTCTCCAGATCAAGGGCACAGCAACTGAGCAGCTCACAGGGCACTCACCCTGAGCCATTATATTAATATCAGAGCTTACACCAGGACAAGAGCTCAGCCAGGCTAAATACCTCTCACACAAGGACTAACAAAGCACAGGAATGCACAGCAGCCCTCAGGGATCCCCATCAGCCCAGACTAAGTCTGAGGGGATTTTTTTCCAGGGTGTGCAGAACATCTCTCCCCCCCCTCCACCCTCCCACCCCCCACCCCCAC